ATAATAATAAGCAGGAATCTTTTCGTAAAAGGACTAGCCATATTTGTGAAAAAAAAACAGATTCAAAGTTTGCTGATCTATAAGCTCCTTAGTTCTATTCCAAATCCTTATTCGTAAAAAGCAGGTTGACAAACTTTCAGTCAAGATAGCTCGGTACTCTCAAGATGATGCAAAAAATATCGTAGAAGTTCCCGTACTTCTACTTAAAATAATCATTGCACGTGTTTGTTTTCTTTTTAATTTTTTAATTTTATCTTGCCTTTTTGGATTTTATCATTTCTTTCATTTTTTATCGTTTAGGTTTACTCGCACTCAAGCTGTAAGAAACTAAAGTACTACGTCATTTTATTCTTTTTTTTTTTGCAAAAAGATTTTTATCACGAATTCAGAAAACTGCGCTGATTGAGACTTAATTTAAAAGTAAATCATGGGAAAGATGTAGATGAAAAGAACTTATCTCAAGAAAACAGGAGACTGTAATGAATCGTTTTACATTATCCTCGTGAATCAATGAAGCCTTTTTCGTAACAAATGAACAAATCACGTGGGTCGACTAATAAGAGATTCTAAGATTCTTCTTAAGTTAACGCTCTTAAACTTCCGATTAATGCTTTTGGTGACAAGTTACTAGAAAACAGGTACTTCAAACAAACCTTTCAGTTTTATTAAAATTTTTGTTTAAATTATATGCGATTAATTGCATCCACAGTTTTGCTATGATTTCAACGAAACTCTCCCGATTCTAAAGAAAAGTAAACTAATGTAAGCCTTCAGCTGAATATTAATTAATTTTTCCTCCCCTCCATAGTACAGTCTGTAGCGGTTTTTATGTGTTGCTTCCCTTAACTAACCCCTGAGGTTTGTTTATGTTGATCAATAATATGGGAACTTTGTCTTGAGAAGGAATTGCGATATATGCAAATACAGTCGAACTTCTATATAACGAAGTCGCTAAATCCCGAAAAAAAGGTCGTTATATAGAGGTTCATCTTTCAATTTTCTTTATAAACCACATAACAAATATATTAAACTTGTAAACACTATATACTGAAAAAAGCAATTATTCTCACCTTTTTGTAAATTAATAATATTTTTTTATATATATTTTACCTATCAAAAAGAAAGAAAGAGAAAAACTGCAAGGAAAGTTTCTTGACGCTTTTATTCACTTTTTGAAGAATTAATTTTTTCTTTGATGCTCAAGAATTGACGTTTTGACATTTTCGAGCTACAGGAAACGAAATTACCAGTATGACTGATCAACACTGCAAAGAAAACGGAGACTAGTTCAAAGACAAGGGGACATGAAACAACTCCACAGAGGGAGAAAGGGGATATCGAAGACGTTTCCAGTGAACTAAACGACAGGGGTTCAAAGTTGCACTTCTTGGATGAAACGCCGAGAATTCTATTGCCCTCAGCGAGTAAGGTACCTAATAAAGCCAATTCAAGATTTATGACCACCATAAAATGAGTTAAAAGAAAGAATAACTTGAAATGCTCAGAAGTACTTTAAAAAAAGGGATAGAAAAAATTGAATCACAGGAGAAAAAGTTCGTTATATAAGGATATATAACGAACTATAGGGAGATACTTCATTGTAGTGTTTGGACCCGCTTATCCGACAATGATCCTCGCTTCGAAAAAACTAACCAATTATCACCTCACACATTCAGCTTTGATTTGTCAATCCTACCTAATTTTTCTTTCTTTCAAAATCAGAATAGTGGTAATCTTAACTCGGTCATTTCGTTTTCTTTTATCTATTTATACAAGTTAGCTTCCTACAACATAATACCACAGCAATATTTTTAGGGAACTTAATATTAATTTATTAATTGAGAATATATAATCCGCTACATCCTTGCTAACAGCCTTTTATTTTCCAAACTGCATCGGATACTGCTTCTTGACCTTAAATCAGCGCAGATAAAAACTAATGTGACTGATATGAAGATGAATTGTGGTAAAAATCTACATAACCCCACGATTAATGAAAGAGAATAACTCAAGATGCTATTCTTGGCCCAGCCTCAAGGAACCCGCCTGTGTGTTTCCGCTGGGCAAAACGCACTTTGTCATCCAGTGATTGATATAAAGCCGCCCATTATCCCTGCCGGACGCACAAACATCGTCATTCACCAAGTGTCCAGAGCAAATTACAATTGGCCGCGCGCGTCTGTTTTCACTCACGAGAAAAGGATATTTTCTTTTGTAATAACTGCGTCTCTATAAGTTGTTTTTTTGCGCAGCCAAAAATAACACTCGCACTCGACACTGCTTAACAAAAGAGAAATACAGAGAAAAAAACTTCCTCGCATTTTTTTTTTAAAAAAACAGAAATGGTGAATAATTGCGAATATGACTTAATGTTTACCAAACTTGAGTCGTCGTTTTTCTCGACACAAATCATTCGCTCGATCTGTTTTCGAGGAGAGTATAAAAATAAGGCGTTATGTTTTCGAATTTTTTGCTTATAAAAAGAAACGATTTTATTTTCTTTTTCTAGATCTTTTACGGGTAAACTGATTTCTATATTGGCAAGCAATTTCTATATTGGCAATTTCTAAGCAAAATTAGCGTCTTTTTCTTATTGCAGACGTTTAGAACTAACTTCGATACTTCATTTTTAAGTTAATAAATATCTTATCTAATTCATCAATTAACTCAGTATCATCGAACATTTAATATGGTTTTAAAGTTTCAAAACTTAGTGTTTTGTATATTAAAATCCTTATCACTTTCATACAATATAAGAAAAACGATAAATTCCCTTTAATGGTCAGGTTAACAAATAATTAACGCAAAACTTCAGCACTTTTTTTTCCTTTTGAGAATACGCAGTCTTTTATTTTAATTTTAGTTTCTTTTCTGAAATTACGCCCTTTTCCATATTCTTTGATATAGATACTCATTTTTAAATTCCTACCATTATAGTTCACTCTCTCCCTACACACACACACACACACACACACATATATATATATATATATATATATATATATATATACACTCTGTCGCAAAAAATATATGCACCCAGAAGAAATCAAGCTACAATCACGAAACTCGGCAAGAATGTAGTCTGGTAAGAGATATGCAAATGATTAAAATTTCGAAGCCAATGAGACAAGGCTAAGTGTGCTATGCGCATATTAGTTGCGCAACTGGGAGAGTTGAAAAGCATGAGTACGAGCGCCATACGGCTATCCAAACGAATCTGATGACTTTGATAGACGATATTGAGACTTAGGATGCCTCTAAGACGTAACCGGCGGCAGTACGAGCAGCTGACGGACTTTGATAGGGGCCGTATAATAGGCCTCAGAGAAGCAGGTTGGTCGAATAGACGTATCGGCCGCCACCTCGGTCGGAGCGATATGGTAGTTGCTCGGTGTTGGCAACAGTGGATCACAGAAGGTAGAGTGTACCGTCGCGGAGGGTCAGGACGTCCCAGGAACACAAATGATCGCGAGGATCGTGCAATCAGAAGAGTGGCCACTTCGGCACCAACAACGTCGCTAGCATCGATTCAACGCCACTTACCTCCTTCCAGACATCCAGTGCCATCAAGAGAAACCATAAGGAGACGACTGACCGAAGTTGGCTTGAGGAGCCGACGTCCGCTAAGACGCTTACCACTGACCCCACATCATAGGCAGTGTCGACTGGATTTTTTGCCGACCTCGGGCAATTGGAGTGTGACAGACTGGAGACGTGTCATCTTCAGTGATGAATCCCGATTCAGTCTCAGTGCTGATGACCACCGCACACGTGTCTGGAGGCGCACCGGCCAGCGGTCCGATCCGGCATTTATTGTCGAGCGGCATACAGCAATTTCACAAGGTGTGACAGTGTGGGGAGCAATTTCTTGGGACACACGATCATCTTTAGTGGTCCTTCAAGGCACTTTGACAGCTCGCAGATACGTGGACGATATTTTAACGCCGATTGTGCTACCCATGCTATCAAGTCGCCCAGGTGCCATTTATCAACAGGATAATGCTCGTCCACATACTGCGCGACTCTCCCAACAATGTCTTCAACGATATGACGTCCTACCATGGCCTGCCAGGACACCAGATCTTTCGCCAATAGAGCATGTCTGGACGCGCTGGGAAGGCAACTGCAGCCGTCCCGAGATACAGGAGAATTAACTGCGCAGATGCAAAGACTATGGCAGGATCTTCCACAGGGGGTCATAAGTGATCTAATTGAATCGATGCCACGCCGAATTTCGGCTTGTATAGCTGCCAGAGGTGGCTTTACTACTTACTGATTTTTAACCTTTTGCAAGCTGTAACCGCTTAATAAAATGATATTTTGTTCTGAATTTTTAATCATTTGTTTATTTTCATATACACTACATGCATACCAAATTTCGTGAATGTAGCTCAATTTCTTCTGGGTGCATATATTTTTTTGCGACAGAGTGTATATGTCATGATTTTTAAGACAGAATCAGATTAAAGTTAGAAAAGTGAAAAGACGACCTTTATTATTTCATTTGTACATTTGTTCTGACACCGAGAGCAGGGAGGAAAAAGCATGCCATGGTGGTGGTTTCAATTGGATAACACTTGAAAAACATATGATAAGTATCGCTGCTTTGAAGAGGGTGCTTGCAAGTTAATGCTGACATATGCTGACTATTAAATCTAACGATCTGGAATTAGACATGTTTATTGGCTAGGCCATATGTTCGGAAGAAATAAATGGGTGATTAGTTTGATACTTGAAGATGAGAACTGAGAAAGATGAGTCAAGTGCTAGATAGGGAATTTAATTTTTAATCTAATTTAATTATCCTTACATATATATATATATATATCTTGTTCAAATTTTCAATCATTAATAAAATACGTTCTATTCATCCATTCAAGTTCAAATACATTTTTAAAATTTGAAGTGGATGACACTTGATGTTAATACAGCTTTTTCAAATATCAACAAAGAAAAATAATAGTCCAATAGCACGTATAGAAAGGAAAATCGTTCGCTGTGTTCTTGTAGCGCAATGGATAGCGCCTTGGACTTCTAATCCAAAGAACATGGGATGGAATCCCACCTGGAATGGCCTAGTTTCCGAGAAAATGATTTCTTTTTTGCTATACTATTTTATTAGAATAATTAAATTTAATGAATTAATAAATAGTAATAAAAATAAAAGTATCAGTTGAACACACACACACCCTATATGGAAAGGAAAATGGCAAGGAAAATCGCTTTCTATTTTGTCACTTGATAGTGTGATTCTATTATATGTATATACATATTTTTATATTCATTGTATAACTATTTAATAAAAAGTACCTAAAATAAAAATTTTCTTTGCTGACCTAAGTAGAAATTGACTTCTTTTTTAAAAAATTACTTGTTATTTGTTTATTTAAAAGTGTGAACTACAAGATAAGTATATTTGCAATACGCACAAGAGAATTATACAACAAACCCAGATTACTCAAAATATAAAAACATCCAAAATGCAATAAAATGTCTAAGGAACAACTAATATATAATAACAGAAATTGATTATCTTGATTTTGATTTTTTCAGTTTTCTTTAAAAAACATTTTTACACGAGTAATCAGATGCAATTTTCATCTTTGTGGTGAAATTTCCAATAAAATGCGCGATTTTTTAAAATCCCCCTTAAATGATCTTTGATTGCATGGATCTGATATCTTTTTGGTACATTTATTTCATAATATGTAAAGTAGTTTTTATTATATGGGTTCAAATCGAGAAAACGAAATAGTCATCAGCATTTACTTTATAGTCAACCTAAATGAAAGCGACTGAACATTGGCAATTCAGCGATTCAAACTGAAAATTTATTTTAAGCCCTTAAGGTATCCGACTACGTTCGGAACCGTGATTTTAAAAAAGCGCATAAATGGATAATTTTCATGATATTTAGTGTCACTAAGATTATAATACATGCATAAAATTGTTTTAAAGACATTTTGACAAAAAAAATTTATTTAAATATAATATTTTGGCAAAAAATTAACTTAGAACAATCTTTATTCCAAATGTTCTCTTTTTGTAAAAAATAGTTCTATTACAATAATATTTTGCCTGCATATAGGCTTAGACCTCTCTACAGAGGCTCAACTAGAATTTTTCAAAAATTCAAATTATTTTCAGAGTTACCACCAATTGAAATAATTATTCGCGTTTTTTTCTTAAAATTGCTCCCCTATGTTGTAAAATATGAATAAACCCACTTCTAAGTTATATATTTCAAAAATTTTAGTTGAGCCTCTAAACAGAGGTCTGAGCTATATGCAGGCAAAATATTATTCTAATAGAAGCATTTTTCACAGAAGGAGAACATTTGGAAAAAAGATCATTTTAAGTTAATTTTTTGATAAAATATTGCATTTAAATTAATTTTTTTTGTCAAAATGTCCTTAAAACAATTTTATTCATATATTCTAATCTAAGTGACACTAAATATCATGAAAATTATCCATTTATGCGCTTTTGAAAATCACGGTTCCGAACGTAGCCGGATACCTTAAGAATGTCGTTTTAGTGGTGCACATTCATGATTTATAAAAGTTTTAAAACATTTTACATTTAAATTTAACAATAGAGAAACATTATTTCCAGACACTAAAAAAAATTCATAAACAAGGTTATGGCTGTCTTTTCCTAATGTTAAAAAATAGAGCAAAGTGGACATAGATTTTATCGGTTTGTAGAATCTACAAATATTACTACTGCATTCCAACTTCATTATATTATAGAGGGCATCAAATGTTATCTAAATACTTATTTCTCTTTCATTTAATCCACTTTTTTTACCCATGAAATTAAATTTCAAATTTTTTTTTCGTAATGTTTAACTCATGTTTAATTTAATCTTGTAAAATATAAAATAGAGCTCTTTTGAGATACTTTAAAACTATAAGAACATAAAAAAATAATTAATTACTGTGAAAGCATGACAAATATAAAAGCTTAGTAGCTACCTCAATTCCTCTCATCAAATTTTGTATGAGTATTTATAATTTTTAGGGAACTAAATTATGATGTTAAAATACATTACTTAACTTACTTAAAATAGTTCCTTAAACTTTAAAGAAATACAACACGATTAATTTGACTAAAATCGGTTAAAAAATTTAGTAAAAAAAACATTTATTGAAATATTTTATTATGTATTTTTGTATTATTTCAAAAAAATTGAAAACTTTTACTTAAAAAAATACTAGTTACGATACATTTTACATTTGATAATATTCTCATCTCGGTTTATATATATATATTAAATAGTAACTTTAAACACTAATTTATCTCTCAGAACGAAACAATCATAAGTTTTTCTGCATTAAAAAAAGCAAACACTTTTTTTTTCTAATGGGATAAATGTTTTGATATATTTTTTCTAACTATTTATATCAATACATCTAACAAAATTTGGTAAGCCGTTTTGAATCAGCACAACACTGAATTAAAAAACTAGTTGAATTTAAAGAATTTATACGTTTTTAAGAATTTATAAAAAGCATTCATAAAAAAATTGGTCTATGCATTTCAGTCAAGTTACCACAAAAACCAGACCAACTTTTGCTGTACAAAGTTTGATATATTTGTAAATCAGATTTCATATGTGCATCTCAACTATTATAAGAGAAGAATTTTAAAATAATTTCATAAATTAACACTTTTTTTAATTAAATTATTTGCGTTTTGTGGTGCTTAAAAAAAAGAGCACACAAATCCTGTTCTGTATATTACATATACATTGGTTACAAGTAAATATGTGTAAAAGACATTGAATCACACTGTGTCTGCTTAAAATAGCTATCTATCAAGAAATCTAATTTTCTTTTGCATTCGGTTTTTAATCTTCAATTTAGAGATACAAAATTAGGTCCGTCACCAAAAGTCCTCGTGTTGCTTTGAAGCGCGGCTTCATAAACAATTCTATTTTTGAAATTTTTTCAATATCCCAGTGAGAAAATTTGCTTAAAAATAATTAACTCTAAATTAATTTAATCTACTAACATCGTTTTTAAGTTCCTTATGAGCCATAATGATGTCATTTTTGTCCAGACAACTGTATATTCTTGTTGCAACTACATTAGTATTTTTAAATGTTGGGAATTTTTTCTACCTGAAAATGATATTCTTATATTTGATTTTTCTTCATGACTATAAGCGAACACAACTTAAGTAATTTAATCATTTTTAACCTCTTAACGGTCGCGTAATTTTGAAGAAAAAAGTGTCTATTTTTTTATTCAAGAAAATTATATATATAAAGCAAATGTATGTTCAATGTGTATGTATTTATTTTTAAATTTTAGGTAAATTTTTAGCTTGAAATACAAAAATTAATTTTTTAAAGAAAAGCCAACGTTTAGGGGGTATTATGCCTGAATGTTGATTTTCCGGCAAAGCTAGAATATAAAAAACATGTGTTTTAAGCGTAAAAGGAGAATTTTATTACACTTATGTTAAAACACATTAGTAACTTTTTCTTGCGAGATAAATTTCAAAGCATGAATAAAAAAAGCCAACATCACACGTAATAGTACTAATCCATCATCCCTGCTCTCAGATTCACTAACAGAACTTTCAAAACAATCAGTTATTTCAGAATCATTCTCAGATCCATTTATAATTAAAGAAGAATTCGATTCACTACCTGACTAACGCCATAATGATTACACAATATTATTATATACATATTGCATGCAATCTGGTTTGCATCTAAGAACAAATAGTTAAACTCTAATGTGAGAATATGGATCATTTAGTGGGCAGTCATGGCATTAGTGGGAGTTAAGAGCAAAATATAGGAGTGGCGATTGTTGTAGGAAATATGAGAAAACGTTCAGAAATTGAGAATTGGAGCATTGATAGGATGCTCTTGGGTGAGTTTTTGATAATTTACGCTATTCATTTGTGAATATACTGGGTTTTTTAATTTGAACTTTCAGATTTTAAGTATTTTTTTCTTCCTATACGACTATTTTAAAGATGGGTTGCATTATCTTTGTGTGTGTTCGATGGTTCAATTATAATGTGCACTTAATTATTTTAGAGTTTTAACATTTTAATGTTATAATATCTTTCGAAATGCGATGGCGAATAGTTTAATTTTTTATGTATTAACTTCTTAAATTTTAAATTTTTGAGAATTGGATATTTCCCGATTATATATAACTTACCAAGTTGCAACAGGGGGAAGGTTGGCGCCATCAAGTTAGTTTAACCCTACTTATCGGTCATAAGTCCGAGGTTGCACTTGGATATTTTATAAATTTTTATTTTATAAAATTTTTAATTTTGTTTGAAAACGTTGGTATTTTACTTTCTATATTTTCCATTGATATTTTCAAATGAGATTAGTATTATAAAATTCATACATTTTCAATTTTTAATTGATTTATATTATATATATATAACATATGATTAATTGTGCTAACATCTGGTTTAAAATAAAATAACTATCTCTAAATACGTTACTAATAATCTGGTACTGCCATCTGGTGAGAAATAAACTATATAGTTTTAATCCTTTTAGCGGGTTACTTTTGAACACTCCAGCTCGGAAATATCACGGGCACGAGAAATAGAGAGGGAAATTTCACCCCGTGATATTGAAGGGAGCGAGAAGCAAGAAGTTAATTAACTATGTTAATCACTGGCGTAGTTAACTCTAAGCTGGCCCTATATAAGAATTTCTTCGGGGCCTTTTTTTATATCAGTGTCCTGCTAGTGGAACCTGTAATTACACATGTTGGGGCCTACAGTCATCACTGATACGGCTGATACAACGGTAACTACGCCCCTGATGTTAACCCCATATATATATATATATATCCGCGTGTTTATAAAACACTGTTAATGTTTAATGTTTCGCGGAAAAAAAAGAAGAAAAAACTCAGAAAATTGAGAGGGAAAGGTAAACACAAAAAGAGAGTCAAAATAACAAAGGAAAGAGCTGGGTTACAGTGAATTTTCTTTTTAAAGTACTTTTTAAAAATACTTTTTTTGTTGCTTTATTTCTAATCGGGCTTTTTATCTTTTTCACCGCGAATTTTGGAAATCGAAAC